CATTAAACAAGGAACATATGTAGAACCATTATGGAAAACAGTAGGGGGATTCCTCAGAAGAATTAAAAACATAACTACCACATGATCCAGCAATCCTATTACTGGCTATATATGGAAAGGAAATAAAATCAATATATCAAAGAAACATCTGCACTATCATGACTTAGCATTACTCAGAATAGCCAAGAAATATAATCAGCCTATAAGATATATAATATTATATGTACATAACATATAGTCTAACTACACACACACACACACACACACACACACACACACACACACACACATATATAGTGTGGTAAATAGGTGAGAAGAAAGCAGAAGAGATAAATGTATAATATTTTAAGACATAGAAAAGAGGTTTTACTCCAAGTGCATTAAGAGTTTTAAGCTCAAGATCATATAATTTAATTAACTACATAGAAGATCTATCCTGCTGTTGCATGAAGACTGGACTATAGAAGGGAAAACGTGGACAGTGTGGACACATGAAGAATAGAGACTTAATATTTTTATGTGCATATGTTGTTACATCTCTGAGAAAACCACAGAGATAAAACAGTCATGTGTTGAAAGAGCAGCCTTCACTTCTGACTCTTTCCAGATATCGGTGCATACATCAGTGTGAAACTAAATGCAAAAACAAATCCATCATGAGTGAACAACAGTGAGTTTCCAATTCCAAAATGACGGAATTCTCTTTGAACAAAGCTCCACAAAGTAGTAAGAGCCAGGTAAATGGGCCAAGCCTTCTTTAGAAATAAATCTCTGCTTACCCTCAGCAACTATTGCTGGAGCTATCCAGGGTGCTGGACTATTTTCAGGCTCCACTTTTCTAAGGCCTGGATGGATCATGCTCTCAGTTATCCTTGTCAGACCTAAAACCCCCTACAGACTCCACAATGTCCTCCCAGAGTCAGCTAAACTTTGAGCCAATATCAGTGTTGGCCATGTCTATCTGCACAAATGTTGAGCAACCTCTGCATATAGAATATGAAGAGGTAGTGTAGCTAGAAGCATATAGATAAGATTAGGCACAATCTTCTGAAATCATAACAAGCTGGGCTGGGAGTATAGCTTAGTGCTAGATCACTTATTTGTCACGTGCAAGGCCCTGGGTTCAATCTCCAGCACTAGGTGGAGGGGGGTAAAATGAGTTCAGTAGCAACCTTTTCCTTGGACTAGAACTCAAAAATTATACCTGGCTGCTGAAATTGCAACCTCTTCTGTTTGCATAACTTATTCCTTAGTCTCTTTCTAAAACATACCTGAAAGCATAATTCTATGCCTTCGATATTAATAAATTTATAGAATATTCAATTGCATCCCTCTGACCTAAATAGCACCCTTGACTTTGCTAAAAAAAAAAAAAAAAAAAAAAAATCCACTGGAGGTCATTACTCAGTCTCCTAAGTCATCAAGTTTGTGCACTAAGTAGTAGATGAAAATTTGTGTGCTTTCAAGTCAAACACTTTACCTCTTCAACCAAAACACTCAGAGCATGAGAATAATCTGATGTATACTCATTTCTAGCTCTCCTCTTAAGTAACAAGAAGCACAGTGAGAGCTGCAGCACCTTCAGAACTTTCCACCTACGTGTTGGCCCCTTCACTGTCCTTCAATGTGTGCGAGGGGCAGCATGATTTAAAAGAGCTACAGAAGTTTGTCAAACGTTTTAGTTCTGAGTTATCAAGATTCTGATGATAAAACAGGACTAGAAACCCTTAAGTGTGCTCTGCTACGCTCCCTTACATAAGCACAAACAAATTGTGCCATTAAAATAACATGGGGATCATTTGCTTTGCTTTTACATAGTCTAATATTAAAGTGAATAGGCCAAGAACATCTTTGCTTAATCTAAAAGTAAATTAATTTGGTTAATTTGTAGTCACAGAACTCCCACACTGTATCTCCCCTCCTGGTCTTCACAGATATGTTCATTCATATGACTAAACACTCATTCTTTCCTTCATCTTGCTCACTTGATTCATCCTTCAGGGTTGATTTTAACAGGGAAAGCTTTTATGAAAGCCTTGCTCATCCCTCTCTGGAAATGAGTGAAGTTTAGATTCCTGTAAAACCCTACATTCACATCCACTTTGATACACTTTAATTCAATTGCTGGTTTATTTTTCCACTTCTCCCTCTGATTGTATGCTCAATGAGAGTGGGAACTAGTCTTTTCCTAACATTGTATCAGTGCTTTACTTAATAACAGTGGAGGGCCGGGGATTTAGCTGAGTGTTTTCCAAGCTCAAGAACCTGAGTTCGATCCATGGTACCAAAAAAATAATAATAATTAATAATAATAATAATAATAATAATGGAAATATTCAATTAATGAATGAATAAATTAATTAATTTAATTATTTAAGAGCCCCTCTCTAGCTCTAAAGTTAGTAACTCTGTCTTGCTTTCAGGCCTTTTCCATAACTTTGGACTCAATAATCATCCCCTTTAAGAAATCTTGAGATGACCATATTATAATATCCAAGATATTTCTCAAACCAAGTATAACTTGCATTTTATATGGGAAAATTTTAATAAAGTCCTACTATTTAGTTTGCATTTACAAGGTGGAGATAAGAGACATATTTTTAACTTTCAGTACATAAGCAGAATTTTAAAAAATATCTGAGCTTGAAATAATGCCACACCAATAAAATACTGACAATACTGCTATTATTTTGGGGAAGGCAGTCATTCTTACTTTCAATACCAATATTTTTAAGACTGTACCCCACACCATTTTCTTCCCTTATAGTGAATATTCTCCTTTTTTATTCAGTATTTTTCTTCTCTTATATTCATCCTTATTTTACTTATCTTTATCACACAGGGAGTTATGATGAAAACAACTATCTTTTTTGCCCAAATGAACATGCCAAATAAATTCTAAATTTTGTTGGATTGTGAATTGCGTCTTACACATTTTTCAATTTCTCTCAGTACATCTAGACTGGTACAGAGTAAGTTCTCAATAAAACATGAATGATCAAAGCTTTACATTTAAAAAACCACCTATTTTCTTTCCATAAATAATGGTACTTAGGTTACATATGATCAAATAAAAATTAAATCAACAATCAGCAAATTATGGCTCATGGGCCACTTCTGCTGAGGTCCGTACTTTTATAAATAAAGTTTTATTGGCACACAACTACTCTTATTTATTTGCACTTGCCTATGGCTTTTTTCAGGCTATAACACTAAGAGTTGAGCAGATGCAGCAGAGATTGTATGGCCCAAAAAAAACTAAAATAGTTATTATTGGGCCCTTTGTGGAAAAACTTTAATGATAACTTCTCTAAATCACTTTTATTGATGAGGGAACTCAGCCTCAGATAAGTGATTCATCCAAGAGTACAGTTAAACTTATCCACTAATCATAACTGTAATAGATTCTATTTCCTATTAGATTAAATGCTTGGTGAAAATAAAGGTATTTTAGATTATATAAAATCAACAGTAAAACCACAAATTAAGATGTTTGCCAGAAGACTTTTAAGAGCTTATATTAATCTAAACTGAGACATAACTTTCATTTTTCTGAATTAAGATAACAAAAATTAATAGTCTTCCCCATAGACTAACTCAGAGAATACTGCTAATTTTTATAAAAATACCAATAAAAAATGTTCAAGTCTTGCAGCAGAGTTCTAAAAGATGTGGAAAGCAATGTGTCAAAGAAAATGCTTTAAAATGGACTACATTGACCTTACGAGCTACTCTACTAAAATATGAACAGCTTTTTAAAAATCCACTGACAATGGAAGGAAAAATAAGTAGTGCAGACCATCCTCCAAGTTTTGGGGGTTTGTTTTGTTGGTTTGTTTGTTTGTTTGGTATTGAGAATTGAACTCAGGCCCTTGGGCTTGCAGTGCAGGTGGTGGAACAACTAAGCTAAATCCCCATGCCCCAAGTTTTAACTCCTTATCAAGGTAGTGAAGAGCCACAGCAGAAAGTTCCTGAGAATCACTCCTTCAGTCAGTGTCTAGTAATTTAGCAGACTATTGTTTTCAACAAATGACTTCAAGTCTAGATTTCTGTAGAGGGAATCACATTAAAACTCCCATCAGAAGTGTTCTTAGTATTTATATAGCAAGCTTCGCTTAAGCTGAAAAAGTAAAAAAAAAAAAAAAAAAAATAGAAACAGAAAAAAAGACCTATCATTAAGACAAAAAGTAAATTCGGTAAACTTAATCTGCTATCAGACCTCTGCTCCTTTCATACAAAGGATCGTTAACACAGACATTTCATCAAAATTGACTGATGTTTTCTGAGGGTATGCCCTATATAATGCAACAACATAGAAATTCCTGGAGTGAAAATAAAATGTAGCTGGCGAATATCAGAAAAGCTACAATGGATAAACTCCATACAACAAAAGGATTCAGTAGACAGGAGAACAAATTGTTACCGTGGTATACTTAATAACTCCTTGGTACAGAGGATACCTCCCTTATTATAAGCCACCAGACATTGCATCTGCTTATGTTAGCAAAAGGTCATGTCATCCACTGAGACAAGAAAGAGATGGGGGAGAGGGAAAGAACAAGCTGAATTAGAATTGGTCTGGAGCAAAGATCAGAACAAGGCCAAGACAGAGAAAGAATTATGCACAATCGATATCATGCCATATCGTATAAGCAGAGTTGCCAGTAGGATATGAATGTCCCCTGCCATCCCCCAGTCAGGGCAGAGACAACAGATTTTTTTTTACCTCAGAAGCCCAGCTACCGAAATCTTCCTCCATGAGAGTTGGCCCAAGACTGTCTGGATCGTGCCAAAAGGAGGAAGCAGAATGACTCAGCCACAGCTGCCCTGGCATCTGCCAACTCCTCCTGAGATTCTCTCTTCTCCACGTCTCTACCAAGGACACCAGTGGACCTACCAGGTGTTACTGTTTTACATAAATGTCTAATCACATTCTCCTTCCTCCGTTACTTGTGCTCTTAGGGCCAAAATACAATAAGTTGTTTTCAACATATTACTACCTTGAATACTTCTCTTGAAGAAGGCCTTACAGCCCTCACAGGACCACACGCCATAATGGTAGCCAGAGGCATAGTCATTGCACACTGCGCAGTAGCGGGTCTCCTTGGCAGATTCCAGGGCTATGCTTCCCTTGTCACTGCTACTGGCCAATCTCTCTCGGCCACTCTGGCGTCGATTACCTGAATTCGGCCTGGAAAAGAGAGTAGAGAAAAATAAATAAATAACAGTGAGTCCATTAGCATTGTAAAATCAAAACATGCACTTCCTTCTAAAGAATAAGTTTGGGAGATGAAGCCAACCCACTTTATTCTGACATTTTGAAATAATGAATCATAATGTAAGCCAATCTTTCAGTACCTCTTGCCTTCTGTTACAGCGAAAGGTGTTTGCCTATTATGCTAACCTTGAGGGGAAATCGTTTATCGCAAACTTGCTTAGCAAACAGGCTGGCTACCCCGGCATGTACTAACCAGAAAAATAACAAAATGTAATTAGTTGGATTCTAATAGACTTCTTCATTCATTTTCTCAAGGATTCACAGTTAGTTCAGAACCATTATCAGCCACTATTCATTCCAATCCTAGACCCTACAAAAGGACGTTACGAAATACAGACAAAGCATAAAACAGCTGAAATATCTGGAATTCAGAGGACCTGATGAACAGTGTAGAATATACGTTGAAAATTAATTCATATATTTTCCATTACTGTTACCAAGTAACTCTAGATCTTTATAACTTGACTGTATAATTTGAGGATGCTATTATTCAATATTAAATAGGCCTCTTTAAGAACCTATGGAATGATAGGGCTGGGAATTTAACACAGTTGTTCTGCTGCCGGCCTCACAAGCACAAGGGGCTGAGTTCGATCCCTAGAACCAAAATAAACAAGTAAATAAATAAAGATTTCATGGAAGAAATATATCCCCAAAATTAAATTGAAAAAGAACAGAAAGAAAGTTTGGTTCTAAGAGAAGCAAGAAAACAGACGCGTACAAACTTTTAAGAAAGCATTAAAGAGAGAAGAGGTCAGTAATGGCAAGTGGAAAAGAGAAGCCCAATAAAACAAGAACTGATAAAATAAATTTTGGATTTGAACAAGAAGATACTGAGCAAATGAGTTGCAGGGAAGGGTAGAGCTATAAACTGAATCCCTGGGTGGAAGAGTGGCTGGATGTGAAGAGATGGCAGCGAATAGAGAGTCTAGAAGGAAATGGTAAAGGAAAGAGAAAGAGTGGTACATGAAAAAAATAAGACAAGGGTTGGTTTTGTTTGTTTGTTTGTTTGTTTGTTTTTAGAATAGAACAGGCCTGCAAAAGCCTCATGTAGACTGAAGGGAATGGACCAATACAAAGGAAATGGTTGAGGACACAGAGAAGCGAATAAAAGAATAAAGTCAGAAGGAGTCTGGAGCAGCTGGAATTAAAGACGTACACACAAGGAACAACCTCAGTGGAGATGCTCTGAGGATGACCGGAAGAAAAGCAGTAAGAAGGAAGTGACAATAACTTTGGATCTCACTTTTGACCAGGTAGGTTACATTGCTGCAGGATTTCCTGGGCACGCGCAAAAAAATGAAGGTGGTAGAAGGGAAATGGAGTATGTGGTTTGAGCCTAGCACAGTGCCTGGTTTATAGTTGGCACTCAAGAATATATTGAAATGGATAGAGAAAGTGTTCAAACATGATGGGGGGAGAGAGGTTGAAAGATATGGGAAGGGCAGATGGGATGGAGGTTCTCATGCGATTTTCACAACAAACGAAACTCAGAGGAAATAAAGGAAACTGCAGACAGAGCTCTGGGGTGTATGGGTTAAGGAGGTTCCTGCCTCCTGCCTCCCTTGCCCACTCAGATAACCAGAGCACGCTGATTCTCACTTGTCCACTCCTCACAGCCCTAGCTTTGCTTTTAGCTTGGATTTTATAACCTTTCTCTGCTCTTCTCACTCATCAATATTGTATACAATTTTGTCGTGGCGTTTCTCAAACTACATTTGCCATAAAAGTAACAAAATATCGGCTCCTTGGGTTGAGCACGTCTAAATTTGCCAACTTTTTCCATTCTAAATAACTTAGCTCTGAGGTTGGCAGCCACAAATAGGATTTCTTTCTTTTTTAGTGATCCTTAGAGAGCACTAGCTGGCCACTTGCAGTTCTAGTTCATATTGTGTTACTCATTTCTTTCCATTTCATTACCATGGTATGGAGCACACACACACACACACACACACACACACAAACTTCAGATCTTTCTACTGTCTGTTTACTAATGTCTTTTGCATGATTCAAGTCAATAGCAAGTAGCCATGAATATTTAACCATAGAAGCTCAGCGACTGTGGGGTTAGAGTAGATAGTTAGCAAGTATGAAATGGACAGAGTCAAAGTCTTAAAAATGTTATTAAAGCCCCACTAGCTAGCTCAGCACCCAGCACCTAACACCAAGCACCAGACGCACTCAATATATTTCTGCTGGATAAATGAATGAGTGTCTAAAAAGTGTGCAAGGGCAATAGTTCCAAGGTAATAAATAGCCTCCCCACCATCTCTACAGAATAATATATACAACCAGGTTTTGAGCTGCACAGAGATCCACTTGTTTGTAGATTTGGGGAGGGGATATAAGACAATTTGAGCAATCTTCCACATGAACCTTAATCCCCACATGTAACCTCCACATAATCTGCACGTGTGACCTTAGAAATATCAAAAAAATAGGCATATCATGAATGCATAATATATATGTAACCGCACTTATACCCTTAAGATATACAGGAATCTACTACAGTTTAAAATGTACAGACCACACATGGCACCATATGTAGTAAAGAGAGATGTGCCCTAAGATGAAGATGTGGCAACAAATCATATTGCATAAAACCATAGTAGATTCTGCACTGCTGCACTCACATCGCAGCCACCACCTGTTGTAATTGAGCAGAAGCTTTAGGAGTAGCTACCTAAAACTCTCAAGAGCAGTTTGTCCCTCCAGTGAAATGCGCATCACAGTAAAAAGGGAATTCTCAATGATTCACGAAACTTTTTCACCATTTATAACACACATAACATACAGAATATGTTAATTGACTGTTGTTGTCATTGGTAAGGCTTCTTCAAAGGCAGGCTCTTAGCAGCTCCATTTTGAGGCAGGTAAAAGCCATATGTGGAGTTTGATCAGCAGTGGCCATGCAGAGCAGACCCCAGAGAGCCCTGAGCAGCCCACTAGCACCACCGACCGAGTTACTGTTACACCCCTATTAGTCACCATCACCACAACCGAGAGCAGCAGCCTAGCCGCACCTTGCCACAAGGCTGGTCCCACAGACACTTACAGGAGTAGAGGTAGAGGTGCCTGCACATCATAGGGACACTTTCAGGCAGAGATAAGAAGTTTGTGGCAATCAAAATTTAGGAGGAGCCAAATGGTTCAATGTAAGAAATGGATGTGGTTTCCACAACAGAAATGAGATGAAGGAAGCTGTATTTATACCCCAGGCCACTATAAGGAATAACTAGGGAGGGTGTGAGGTTGATATGGTTGGGAAAAGGGGTATGATGCAGCCAGTGTTGCAGGCCTTGGTGGACCTGAAGTTCAAGGCAGTAACTAGACAGCAGGCTGTAACCGTTAAAGACATTGTCCCTCCACACATCGTCAGTGGAATGCCCAGAATAATGAGAGCAGAAAAATGAAGGATCAGAGTGTTCCTGAAGACAGACCCAACAACATCCAACAAAGGCTTGCAGAAACTCCAGTGACCTGCAATTCTCAATTCTTCCACTAAAGGCAATGCGACAGGACTGTTGACAGCCAGCAGTCAGGAGCCCAAGGTAGCCCAGAATGTTTACACCACATTCTGCTCTCAGGGACCCCCTCTGGAGCCCTCCACCAAGGGCTGTCCATAAAGCAACTTTTTAGCCAATTGGAAATCCAAGTGTATATGCCCTACTCTATAAAGACTCTCAAAATGTCCATATAAAGAATAGCTATCCCATCAGGCTAAAGGGCAAGGATATCTTCCCATGGGTTTCCAGGTTCCATGCAACTTGCAGTAGCTCTCAGGTTATCCTAAGTGTCCATCGGACCAAGCTGAATGGACACAGTGCCCCTAGACAGAGTTGTGGCCTCAGAATGCAGGACTTGGCCTAATCATTTGCAGTGGAAGGGAGCAGAAAGGGGAGGGTTCCAGGACTGAGTTCAGACCTCACCGTAAGGGTGAGGTAGGCACCAAGCTGGGATTATCTAGTCACAGGGCCAGGCTCACCTCCTCCCAGCCTTGGCACTGGTAGCCTCACACCTCCTTGGTAGGAAGTGCCTTTACCATGCTTAAGTCAATCTCAATTTTTCCTAGCTCTCTTTGCCTTGGAGGCCTTTTGGTTTTCTTTTTTGCATACGACCAAGACCAATTATTATTTTCATGTCCAAAATATCTTTCAGTTCTTCCTTCTTGACAGGAATCTTCACATTTCCAAACCGAGCCCAAGCCCTTTATTATAAGTAGAGGATTAATTGTCTAGCAAAATAGCAAAAATACATCCTTCTTTGTAAAAGCCCTGTTTCTCACTGAATTATCATAAAACTTGTTATAGTTTCTCATCTTGCCCAATTTCTCATAAGACTCAGTTAATAAGCTGACTGGATTAACAAGATTCATACTATGAGATTAAACGTTTTTCAGTCTTATAAACACCTTTCAAGGTGCTGGAAATAAATAGGAAAGAAGCTTGGAAGGGTAGCAAAAGCCTGTTTCCATCAGTGACTTAACACATTTCCGCCGTGAAGCACACACATGACTAAGGAACAAAATAGTGACAGGAAAAGTATAGCCAGAGGCATGGAAGAAGGTAACAACACCACCCATCTATGGGAGCTCAAAACCCAATTCAGTTGCATTTTTATTGTCAATTGATTACTAAATATTGCCACATGGATACCCCACTGATATTACATAATTAGTTGATGTCTCTGAAGGCATTCATATTGGGTCCAAAGAATGAAATGTCTTGAACCAAGTAAAAATAGGGCATAATATTAAAAAGTATTGGCTAAGCAGATTTTTATTCATCAAAATTAAAAGTCTGAAGCTTAGTATAATCAAATACTGTTGTTTTCCAATGATAAATAATGGCACCAGCTCTCCAAAAGCATCGTTCTCCTGACCAAGCATTTTTTTTTAATTTTGAAAGCCTTGA